AGGGATGCAGGCAGGATGCTCTGCTCTGCCGTCAGGGTTTGTGCACGGTGCCAGCTCCTCAGGCACTTCCAGCCTGAACTGGTAAGGGATTGCTTCCAAGCTCTGTGAGGAAATGCTCCTGCCAGCCTTCTCATAGCAGCGCTTACAGGGCTGGAGGAGAGCGAAGCTAGCACTGTTCAGGTCTAAGCAGAATCTGGCTTTAGCTACCATTTCCAAGATCACCTTCTCCCAAAGAAGGCAGGAAATCAGAGGATCTACATGACCATTATGAAGTAACTAAGGCTTGTCAAAGGCTAATTAAGTCTTCATGAGTTTATGTCTGGGTCATTTGAATATCCTTAGTATCACAAACTGGATTTGACAGACAAAAAACTAATAACCCTTCATTCATTTGTATTGCCACCTCAAGAGATAGTCTTTGTCGTATTGTTGTAGCAAAAATGCAATACTGCATGAAGAGGAGAAACAGTGGTTTTCTTACAGATAGCCCAAAGTTGCTGCTGGCTTAGTAAATGTGAGTCACAAGGCTGGCTACAGCAGCCTTGAAATGGTGAGATCAGGAAGAGCTAATGGGACAGTCCCTCAGAGGGGGAGAAGAGGAGTAACTTGGGTTCAAGCCTATCAAATCTCTTGGACAACAGCTGATTCCTGACTTGAATTTCCCTGGTCTCAGTTTAGTTTAATATGTGGCATCTCTGCAATGACTCTTTTCAGTCTTAGCAACAAATATGCATCATGCAGGTCTAGCATCTGCCTTCATTAGAAGCAGCCCTGAACCTTTGACAAACCTCGGCTTCGCTATTTCAGGGGTTGGGGCAGGAAGTAAAGGAACGGAAAATGTGGAACTTGTACAGCTGGGCAAGAAACATAGAATTAGACATCCCTTTGCAGGATTTTCTTTAGTGTTGAAAGGGTTTAATAAAAGAAAGGTGGGTGGGTAAAAACTACGGGAAGCAGGCAAACTTGGCAGCCTTCAGTTGTGGCTCCATTTTAACTATGCAACATGTTAGGCCTGGTGCCTTCATCAAGTTTTCCGTTGTAAATTAACTTTAGCTGCAGTAGTCATAACTTTGCCATTGCTCTTTATTAGTCACCCTACCTAATAGGTCTTAAAAGTCCAGACCAGCAAATAGTCTTCAATCACTCTTACCCATTTTTAACGGGTACTTTTCTCTGTCCTTCCAGATATTCAGCTTAGTCCTAGATATGACAATTTGATATGAAAAGACTAGAGCAAATACTTGCTGGGTTAGCGATAAAAGCTCTGGGAGCATCCAGACCATGCTGCAGGCAATCTCACCCTCAGGCTGGGCTATTCTCAGTCCATTTTGTTTGCTGTTCACCAAAGTCACAGAAAAAGTGCAGGGAAACATAAATAAATTGATATAATTTTTAGGTATAGTTTTTTTCTTCCAATGTATATAAGCAGACACATTTTAGAAAGTTAATGCCCCATATATCACTTGTAGCATCCCTCTGCACCAAAAAAGTCATTGCGTAGGGCAGAGAATGCTGTCTTTCACATCGTATTGTCAACTGCAAAACTGTGTAAAGCACAACCAGCATGCACTAAGGCTGCAAACTGTAGAAAATGCATGTCACCAGAGAACTAGGACCTATGTATGTGACATTCCTTTGTACATCATTATTAGAAATCCATGGACTTCACAGTGAATCCCACAGCTATCGAGAAGGTATCCAAACCAAAGCTTCACATTTTACAGTCTGTAGAAACGAAGCCTACAAGTATTTCGAACTGACCTCACAGTAACTATCTGGCCTCCATCCAGCTCAATTCCATTCATCTGTGCTATGAAGATGGCAGCCACAGCTTCATAAAGGGCAGTTCCATCCATGTTAATAGTTGCTCCAACAGGAAGCACAAACCTTGTTACACGCTTATCAATGCCTAGATTTTCTTCAAGACACCGGAATGTGACAGGTAATGTTCCAGCACTGAAGGAAAGAAAGCAAAAAAATAGAGAAGACATAATTACAATATAACAAATACACATAAGGGACCAAAGTCAGAAATTCTGCTATCATTGTTTACATTTTCTACTTCCATTTTCTGCTGTGACTCAAGCCTTTTTTAGCCAATATTAAAATTAAACCTACATTTAGCTGGAGGTGGGACTGAGGCCAAGACATGAACGTGAATTGAAGTACAGATGAGAGCATGAGAGATTTTATCAGACACTTGTATGAACTATGGCTTGCATTTTGTTCACAAATACAAGTTCCAGATGTCTTCTGATGGACAGAACTATGAGCATAGGGACAAATCCTAAGTTTCTTTGATTGTGAATTTGCTCTGAATTGAGAAATCGGTGTTGCACTAAGGAATGAAAAAGCCAGGCAAAAAGATATAATCCATGTTGTTCCCAGACACGGGAGGACAGGAAAGGATATGAAACACAGCTGGAGGATAGGAAAAGATGTGATAGATGGCTGGAAGAGAGGAAAAGCTCCTTGCACAGATCCCCAGCCTTTGTGGGAATAGTTCAGGCTATCACACTCATTTGCTCAAAATAAAACACCTTTGTCAAAAAATACTGCTGAAAACCAAACATACTTTTTTTTCCCGTAGATGCAAGTACCTTCTACTTTTTCCCTTTCCTAGCAGGTCTGCCTGCCTCAGGCAAAGAGTTTGCTGCAACAAGCACAAAACCCAACACAGGAACATGTTTTCGTTCCTTACTTTTCTGTGGCTTTTTTGAGGTTAAGTCCACCACTAAATGAAGTCGGTTGTTGCCTGAGAAGCTGTTCTGAAAAGAAAGCTGATCTGGGGAAATTCCTTTTAATTGGTGTTTCATACAGAAGCAGCTGGAGCACATCTGTTGTTGTTTATTTGCTTTTCTTCAGCTGAGTTGCCAGAATTTCTCAAAGGTCTTCACTATTGTATCCCACTAACTCTGGTGTCATTGCCTCTGCAAAACTACTAATTTGCTCATAGAAGAGTAAAGGACTAGACTCACCAAGTTTTCTCAGATAAAACTCGCAGCATATTGTTGCTAGTGCCTTACAACTTCAGGGTCTTTCCAATTCACTCATTCATCCACTAATGTTTCCATTTGACAGATAATTAAGCCATGGAAAAGGGAGATGATTGAGATATGTAACTATAAAAATGTAGTGTCATAGAAAACAGAGCCTCATGTTCGTCAGGGGAGAAGTTGTTTCAACTTTTTATTTAAAATGGAAGATTAAATTTTCTTCAGAAATAAAACATTTATTGAAGAAAAACACTTTAAAATACAGTATTTAACTGAAAAATATTTTCAGCACAAGATGTACTGATTGCATCAATGTAAAGCATCTCTTTATTACTGAGAGCTGAGTTGCCCACACACTTTGTTGAGTCTGTTCTGTGCATTAGCAACGAGTCTAAAATGTTCAGCTCTTCAGTGAAGTTCCCTTACTCCGCCAAATGGATGAAAGAACAACATGAGAGGTTTTTTCACTTCTTTCTGAAAACCTAGCATCATTTCCCTCCCCCCCCAGTGCAATGGCCTGGTCTTAGCATGCTTTCAAAATAGAGTTATCACTGTTTCCTAGCTGAGGAAACAAATACAGAGGTAACACAATTTGCACAAGTCACTTGGCCAATGCCAGAAAACAAAAAGTGGGTCTCCCAACTCTGTGCAGTTGTCTGCACAACCTCTCTAAAAAATCCCAAAGGTGTGTGGTTATTTTTATTTATTTCAACATGGCTGGATTAACAACAGCTTTTATTCAATGGCATAAAATGATTTTGCAGTGAAGGTCAGAACAGCAGATGTATTATCTCTAAACAGCAGCGAATAATCTGCTAACAAGTAAAGCAAGCTGTTATTTCTAAAGTGTACCTGGAAGCTGTGCCTAGTGCTGTGATCCACGCCTGGAAAATCCCAGCAAGGAATGAAAATGGGCTTTTCCTTGTTATCACAAAGTAGAGCAGAGGCAGGAATATTCCTCCATGGATGACAAGACCCACAATCACAGTGACCATGTACATGCCAAGTTGTCTAGCAACTACTTCTAAGTCCTTGATTGCAATGATTTTCCCACAGATGAGGCAAGCAATGCCCAAAGGGGAATACCTGCAGAAAGAGAACAAGCATAGACAGAACTAGTCTTTGCAGCATAGTCATAAAAATTGTGCTCAACAGAGTATAGACTGGAGAAAGAGTAGGGGGCTTTCAGGCTCAACACTGAGATGCAGATGAGGAATTGGTGGAAATTCAATAGAGAGCTTTCACATGTTTTAAAAAAATAATGGCAATCTCCAATGAATTCCCCATCTACTTAATTTTATTCCATACCATCGAATGGAATATGCATTACCTGAAGAGTCTTTGATCCTGGAATAACATCGTACAATACTACTATAGTGTTACACAGGCTTGGAGCATTACGAAGAGTGGTGTAGTATTTGTTGATAATACACAACTTTTACAACCCATTGCTTTTCTGGTTTCAGGGAGTTGCATTATTTGCTTCAGTTAAACTATCTGTTGAAATGCTTTTATCTTGAAGACTGCAAATGCTTCCGTTATGTTCTTTCAATAATTTGGACAAATGCTTCTTAGTTCATGGATTCTCCATCAATTATGTGCTTTTCTTACTTAGGGTAGGGGTTTTGTCACCTCAGTCATATGATTTCCCAATGGCATGAATGGAACTTTTAAATGGGATGATAATGGTAGCACAGTTTGGTAACAGACAAATTTGAAATGCATGGGTATTATTTTTAGAATGTAATAACCACCTCTAGGGAAAAATGCCTGAAAGTACATGGATAGAAGACAATATTTATACCTGCACTGGTAAGGGTTAGTACATTATAGAATTTCAAGTCACATTCACTTTCTCTATCTGTTTTACAAAACTTAAGCTGGGAAAAAGTAGTGTGTGAAACATGGAGAAACAGTAAACAAAATGCCTCTCTCAAAATACATGGCAATGTATATTTTCAAAAGTGATTAGCATTTTGGATGCTTAATTAAAGACAATACAAAGGAAACTGACTTTCAGAATAAAAGTGCTTCATGTTTTCTGTAAGAAACATCTCTCAGTCTCTCAAGCAATGTGCCCAAAATTTAGAAAGCCCTCAGTCACTTGAAATGAAGGCCAGCTGTTATACCAGTTGTTATAAAAAGCCATGTTTCAATGAACTTGATGAAGCATGTTTCTTATAAAGAATTACATAGTGTCAGAGCCAGATGTCTAATTTGTTTGATGTTTGTGTAGCAATGCCACGCTCCTGAGAGTCTGGAGCTGCCGTGGGAGTTACAGCTCTTTGTGCAGAGAAATCACAAACCAAACAAAATGTAACTCTGCATAAAGAAGTGCATTTGTCTTTAAAAATTCTAGGCAGAGATGAACAAGTGGAATTCCCAACATCAATCTCCTTTCTCACAAAAAGAGAAATAAAAAGCACATCAGTAAAAAAATAAACATTTACAGTGAATTTCTTGAAACTTGAACAATTTCCTGCTATTGCAACACTGACTACTAGAGAAAGTTTATACTGTAGGCAAGGTATTATATCTTAGGTGCTAAGTGAAGTAAGAGTGAATTCTAGCTCTTGGAGTGTTTTGAGAGTGTAGTCACCGTCTCTTTACAGTCTAGAGCAGCAGGTTACAATAACTACTGAAAGCAGTAGAGCTTTGTGAATAAAAATAACTACGTTTTTATGCAGCAAGATCATCTGCAGAAAAGCAGAAGCGTAACAGGAATGCAACATCACTGCTTCAAGTTCTTCCTTCTACGCATTTCCGCATCGCTGTTGCTGTCTGCATCGCTCCTGCATGAGAGTCTCCCTCTGAGATACAGATGATGCTGAAGACTCGCACTTCAGGCACCCTGCTCCCTTTTCTATTCCCTTTTCTATAAACTGTGTCCATGTAGAACCTCAGAGAAGAGGCAAACCGCTGCCTTGTAACTTAGGAACCACTTCCAGGGACACCAGGGAATCACGGGGAGCAATGAGCCACGATGCGTGTGTTGTGCTGGAGTGGCTATTTCTGCTCTCAAAGACCTAGGAGACACGAAACACAGTAGTACAATGACAAACGTAGCAATGCGTTTTTATGTTCTGAAAAACTGGTTCTGTGTGATATGGCCACGTCTGGCACTGTGTACAAATAGCTCTGGGGAAGCCCTTGGAAGAAATGTCTCAAAAAAAAAGAGAATCCTCTTCCAGAAATGTAAACAAGGGCTCAGTCTTAATTGGGAAAAGTCATTCCCTTGAAGGCAAGCTAGGCCCCATTATTGCAAATGGGCATACTTCAAAAACAGGATGGATACCTTCCCATGACCCCACTGCAGACAGGTTGTAAGACACAGATTCTGCAGAAACTACGGGTGGAGGGACTACACATCACCGAAAACCACTGGAATTTTATTTGGTGGTAAAGTATTTTTGGTACAGAAGACAATGAATAAAGCCTGTCTCCGGGCTTGTTGGTAATTATATCTCCTGCCTAATACCCTGAGATTATGCTAACCTCCCAGGAAGATTTGGATGTTCCTCTGTGGGGTGTTCTTGCTTGCTTAGGTGTCCTTCTATGTAATGAATTTCCATAATTAACGTGGCATTTGAAGTCCTTTGCTGGTACCTGCATGTCTTGGATTTCAGTAAACGAAGAGCAGAATACTTTCAGAAATACTTCAAACTGGGTCCTAAATAATCTCCATCAAATAGAAATAATGCTGCTGTGGTTCTAACACACCTGTCAAGGCTTTAAAAAATGAACTGTTTAATTATATTGTTTACTAACAAACTGTGGCCACTTTATGCTATATGAGGGTTTTATGAGTTTTTAAATCTTTTATTTGTTCTGTAAGTTAGAACTTCAAACTTACCACATGATCATAGTTACTAACTTCATTACAATCTCATTCAGGATATTGAAGAAATCCACCATCATCTTGGCCTGTTCTCCCATTTTCCCCATAGCAATGCCAAAAGCAATAAAGAATCCTATCAAACCTATAGGGAAAAAATTGCAAGACAAAAAAAAAAAAAGCAAGTAAACCCATGGTTTTTAGGAAGTTTTTGCACCTAGTCAATGTCTTAATATCTGCTAATCCAGTTTACAGAGCTATAGTGTATTACATATCTCTTGGGACTTTTTAGTGTCGACTCACTCTCAACTTTCATGATCATATTCAGAACATCTTTTATTCTTCAATATTTTACTAAATTCCAATTTGACAGCCCAGCTACGTTTTTTTCTGTTTTCCTGAATTGAACTGATCATCAAAAAAATACCTGCACCATAATCTCCTCAGTGCCACACACAGCGCCATATCATGGCTTCTTTTTGTTGCTAAAACCGCCACCAGAGACCAAGAGCGTTTTTCTCAAGCTTTACAAAAGTCACTTGACAGATTCAGCCTACAGACTAGTCAGTTCTGTAGTAAAGGGAAAGGCAAAAGCAGCCCCAGAACATAACTTCTTCAGGTCAGGAGTATTCCCGTTAAATGAAGAAGGTAGGGGTGGGAGGAGAAGGTGGGTATTGCACTATAAGCTAAACCACAGAACTCCCATTAAACACATCAACCTTACTGAAACCAGCTATCAGTGGATACATAATCATACAATTCAATACAAGCAACATTTGTTTCCCAAATTTAGATGTTAAGGTGTGAAAGTCTGGAGTATTGGACTATCAGTGTGAAAAAACAACTGAGTGCATCTGTCATGTATTGTATTACGTTGGAGCTGTGTCTCCAGCACTAACCTTTACCACCCAGCAATTTTCAGTGTCCAGAGTGGGATTATTAACCGATACTGACGGATGGTTTGAAGCTTTAGCCACCCTTTGAGGCTAAACTTTCAGTCATGATAGGAGTTCAGTATTTAACAAATGTGTGAGCTCAGCTGGGAAATTCCTAAGGAAAAACCCATCAGGACACAAAAGAATTCAAGAGAAGGGAATTTCAGCTATCAGTACTCTGGGAAAAGACAGGCTGTTCCATATCCTCATGCTGGCTTTAGCAACCACACTATTTTTTTTTCCCAATCCAGTCTCCTGGACATAAGGCCATTCTTTAGCACCAAGCTATCTTTGTTGAGTCACTGGAGTAGAGAAGTGAAGTGTATGTTTGTGTGCTGCAGAGTATAGAGAAATGATGAAAAGCTTTTCAGTCAAAGATCAAGTCACTTCCTGGAATTCAGACTCTGCATCAGAAAATATTAGTAGGTGGTTTTGTTCGTTAATTCCAAACGAGCTGCTACATTAGTCATAAGAGTCACATTGGTTCATATTTGCAGGAATTTGCCTGGCTTTTACAGTTTATGCAAGCTGGATGGCAATTCCCCAACATTTTCACTTCTTCATTCAAAACCAAACGAAAGCACACCAAGCCAAAAAACTCTGCAACATGTGAGAGTCATTGGTCAAAATACTACAGCAAATCCCCCACCTAAACTGTGTATTTCCTTTCTGTAAGAATTGTATTCAGCCTTCTAGTTCTTTTTGTTTCCGTAACAGAGCCTGCACAAAACAAGTCCAGCACTAAATGCAGTGCATCTCTCACATTAGAAACACTGTTTCATTTTAATGCATAAGCGGAGCTTGAGGAGAGAAAAAAGCAGGTGAGGGTAACAGCATGAGCAAGGAGCTGCTGCCTCATGCAGGGTGCAAAAAGCCAATTTGCAGCTTTGAAAGAAAGCGACTTTTCTGCCCACAGATATTGAATTGAAGGAGGAGCCATGGAGGCAGGCAGAATACGGTGGCTCCCGACTCTTGTAGAGCAGGCTGCACTTTCACAGCAAAACAAATCATCTCTGATCAGCTTACTGATGCTGTCTCCCCTACATCTAAGCAAAGAAGCCGCTGCCAACCAGCTCACCCACATCTGGGGAAGCTCTGCATGCACAGCAGCCACTGTGTTCACAGGAGCAGCTCACCAGCTGCAAGGAGTCTGTCAGCGGCCATTTGCCCCTGAAAAGTGATGACCTAGCGGTGAGATAAAGCAGTGGTTTAGGGATTGCCACATACTGTCCCACTCTGAGGACAACATCTACAAAGACAGGTGTCAACCTCAGCCCTGTGGACATGCTGCCACAGAGCAGTAAGTGTAGGCGTGCCAAAGAGGCTACAAATTGAGAGCTAATTTGTGACCGACTTCACCCACATCAGGAAGAAGGTGAAGGAGGAGCACTCAACTCTGGGCTGACAACACAGTGAGTCTAGGCACAGCGGAGAAAGCAGAAGTGGTGTGGGGGCTCCTCGTTCTCCTGCACCCCCACCCCAGCCCGAACAGGTGCTTCAGGAAGGGGTGGGAGATAGGCAAAGCCCTCATACCACCCCCACTTGCTGGCTTGTCCAGACAAGATGGCACAACAACAGTTCTTCACAATCTGCAGCTGGTAAAGGTCAGCAGCCAAGATGAAAGGAGGAGGGAGTTGTGACTCAGAGATGTGTCAAGCCTCTCTGGGATTTTTCTTGGGTGGTGCGGTTCACACCCCACCTCTCACCTCCGGCTCTGCCTCCAGCCAAATTCTAGTTCAGCATGCCCAAGACACCTACAACTGAAACAACTGAGCTCAGATTCTTCAGTGAGTGGGTAAAGCACTGCCTCTTGAAGCTCTCCCCCATACTGTTTTGCCAATGTGTGTTAGTATTAGCCTAGGTAGGCTAATTCTAGGATGAAAGGATATTTTGGGTACCTCCTACGTGCTTCCCCACTGAACTCCAATTAATAGCTGCAAAGCTGCCAATCCAGAAAAATTCACTTGATTGCTTCTGTGATACATTCATATTTCTAGTAAGACCATTAGATTTTCATCTCTGACATCAATGGGCAGCCAGTAGGTGACAACATTTGATGATTATTTAGGGAGACTAAACTCACACTGAAGAGCGGATCAGACAATACTGGCTACCCAGTCACAGCCAAAAGCTGTGTCATACATATGATGTACGTATTTGACAAGCAAAAAGTTTTCATACCCAAAACATTCATGCCATCCTTAAATTCAAGTCCCTTCTTAATGACCAGCTGGGCTTCTGGTGGTGCTTCGCGCACTGTCTCATTCATCATAGCAAAAGCAGAGTCAGTGACATTAGGTGGTTCTTCAATGGGTGGTGGCACCAGCACTTTCTTCGTGACAGTCTGGATCTGAAGGCAATAAAAAGAGAAGATGAGAATGGAAACAGACTGAATGTAATCCATATGGGAGATCAGGAAATAATAATAAAGAGTCTTCACTTGAAATTCCAGACAACTCTATTTTTAAAGGATTAGACATGCATTCCACAACCTCTTACCCCCTTTTCCAAAAATAAGTTTGTTTTTCAATAGTTCCAAGTGTCACAAAGTCCTGGGAGTCTTCCTCATGACTCCAGTGTGAAAAGTATGGCAAATACTTGTTCCTTACTACTATGATGTAATATTTTACAGTTAGTTAGCCCCTTTGTCCAGATGGTTCGCAAATGGTGCTTCACAGATTGGATGTTACGTGTTGATACCATTTGCTCAGCACCAAAAGGCAGGCACCTCTAAGATAAGTCACAGCAGCAACTCTGCAGTAAGGCTTGTTATTCAGGATGGTCCGCCCAGCTGAAGTTATCATAGATCTATGGTTAAAGTGAATCAAAAACTTAGGACACTTCCAACACTTCACTTGGTAACTGTGAGAGCTTAAAATGGTTAAAAAACAGTCCTCTGAGCTCTCTAATTAAAATATTATGAGTGACAGATAACAGAAAAATTATCAAAGCTGCCAGATACCTATTAAATCAAATCTGACCACCTCAAAAAGGAAACACCAGCATCTGAATGGATCTGGACCCCTCCTGGCACATGAAAGGCAGGGTCAAGGGAAAGCTGGGAAGGAATGGTAGGGGAAGAAATGGGCTTGAGTTTACAGCTAGGAAAAAAGGAAGAAGGGAGTATTAAAAAAGATCCGTGACTTGCTGCTTTTAGAAGGGGCATTTTCCTCCCAGTTCACACCTTGACCCTTTCCTGCCTCTTCATGGCTCTGGGGACAGGCAAAATGGTTAGGAAGCTAGGACCCGTTTGCCACGGTTTCCCATCTGCTCCCTACTTTCCTTGTTCCTAGAAAGTGTTTGAGCAAGGCATCAGAAACGGTGCATTAACATTTCAAAGAACATTTGCACCTCTTTCCTGTTGAGACGGACATTTTAGTACTATGGATGATAATCCATATTCAATCCATGTATTTTAAAACCATAAAGTTTAGACATCAAGTTTAGATTCTGACAACAGCTTCTGAAGCCAGAAAACAATTTAAATGTCACAGTCATATTTACAGACAATAGTCCCATCCTCTTTCATGGCACATAAGATCTGAAGTCTCTGCTGGAATAGCAGTTTTCTTTATAAATTAAGACTTTCTTGTGGACCATACAAAAATTCAAGAGATATGGAAATCCCATGATGGTTCAGAGTTCGATTTACAAATGAAGTGTCTCAAAATTGCAAGTGCATCCTTTTATTGCTTTCTGCCTGGTCGCAAGGGAAAACACGTAAAACTCCCCCACAGAACATGCCTACACAGCACCATTGCTGTGCACCTTTCAAAATCATTGTTTGCAGGATTTCTGAAATAATTGCTTCCTCCTAAGGCAACCAGGAAACACTGAATGCTCATGGAGAGAGTCCGTACAAATGCAAGAAGAGAAAATATACGCTGACACCATCAAATGCAGTTAATCTTCCTCCTAAATAAAGGGAGAGACAAGTAAAGTCTAACACCTCACTGAGGAGTTAAGGGCTAATAGAAGGCACAATTTCCATCTGGAAAGGAGCATGACTTACTCTGCAAATGAAAGGTGGCTTTGTGGCAGAGGCATTCACTGGCAATTAGTTTGGAATCTGATAAAATTAAAGGAGGTTGATGAGGCCTTCTACAGGCAGATGCAAGCAGCCTCACAGTCACAGGCCCTGGTTCTCATGGGGGACTTCAACCACCCTGACATCAGCTGGGAAGACCATACAGCTAGGCAGGCACAATCCAGGAGGTTCTTACAGAGCATCGATGATAACTTTCTGATGCAAGTGGTGGAGGAACCAACAAGGAAAGGCGC